GGTTTTCCAAGCATCTCTCGCAATCGGTGGCAAGCTGCCATTTTTTTCGTTTGCTTAATCTGCCATGGTGGTAGTGATTTTGCAACCATCTCACTTAAAGTGGGCTAAGTAATCGCTCCTTCGAGAGTGCCATCGGCAGTCTTGCCGTACATATATATTAAGTACTGGATACGGTAGAGTATTTTTTTGAGGAGAGTTTGAGTAACTTTACTTAAGTAGTAGTAACGTTTCTGTCAGATACAGTAAGCAATTATAACTAATAACTTGTAAGTATGTGTTGTCAAGCCGTCAGGACAGCTGCCAATGCTATAGCATTGGGGTCTGTTGTCACATAAGCTTGAAATGCGGACAGTACAGTACCTGTGCCGCGAGATTTGCTCCGGGAACTTGTGTAGTATTGTTGTGTTTCTTACTTTTAGAAACGTTTACGTGCTCGAGTAGTTTCTTTTTGATACGGTGGTGCTCCTTACCTTGTTCTCCTTGGTAATGACCGTCAACCCAAAAGATCTCAACTGAAGTACGATACCTCTGGACCAAGGACTCCCGGAAAATATCGTATCAAAACATACTACACCGGGAATTAGATCCAGTGCGCTGCTGACAGCTGCTATTGTTTGCGTTTGGTTTACAAACGTAAGCACAAAAAAGTAAACGTAAACAACAACAAAAGTAAACAATAGCAGCTACTCAAGATGCGATACTTTTGTCGTCCGATCGCCATCGAAAATGCTGCTCAAATTGACATAAGCACTCATAACCTCTCCCCGGCGTCTTCAAGTTTCACCCCCGCCGCAACTTCTCTATGTATCTCGGCAGCTCATCACACTGATGGCCAGAGGTCTACGACTAGAACGCTGCGTCTCTGCGACGTCTTCCTTCCTTCAGTCAATGGAGACGGTATCAATGACGAGCAAAGTATGTGCGTCTTAAAGCCACTCATGACATTTTATAAATCTTAATAATAAACAACTTTGAAATTCCTATAGTTCTCTGGGTTTTAATCCAGAGTTTTAGAGACGATCAGAAAGCGTCGACGATCCTGTCAAGTAACATTTTTATGGAAATATCTGTAATTATTTTGAAACCTAAGAGCGACCACTTATATGCTAAAATGACGCAGAAACTAATAAATTGTTTCTTGTATGCCCAATAGGGTGAATGTTGACCCAGTCGGTCTAGAACAACATTCAAGCAACCTTGTGCGAATGTGATTCAGTCATATTCAAGCTACCTTATGGCTTCAAGTTAAGGATTGAGGCACTAGAACGACGGAGCAGTTAGTAAATACAATCACACAAATGTATACATGCATCTCGATGCAGCACATGTACTCAATACGAAATTAACAC